TACATAGGACACGTGCGTACCCTTTTGGCCCACTGTGGTGTTCAAAGCAGGAGCACAGCTTCCTAAGACCAGCTCCAGCCCCTGGGCCCTTGCTGACCGAGCAAACGCTTAGGCTGCATCCCAGACCCGTGGCCCAGGAGCCTGGAGGGCATGGTCTGGCCACTGTGTTTTCACGACAAAACCCACTGGATGCACTCTGATGTTTCAGGACCACTGTTGTACAGCAGGGGTTGGCAAATTTTTCCTAAAAAAATAGACAGTAAATATCGAGGCTTTGCAGGGTAAGAAGAACATGGAGGCTACTGTGTAAGTGCAAGGTAAGATGCTAAAAACCATTCTTAGCTCACAGGCATAAAAACTTAGGTGGCTCACCAGTGTGTTGATCCCTGCACTGAGGTACCTCAAATCCCCCTAATTCAGAAATCCTCACATAGTAGAATATACGGTCTCCCCTAATACACACTGCTCATACCTAAAATTTTTCAGCTTACCTCTCATACACCAAGAACCTGCAAGAGAAGTACAACAATGTACAACTGAGAATTTATTGGGCATCTACGGGCAGCTGCTTGCTCTGTACCAACCACTGCAAGGAACACACAGGAAGTACAAGTACAATCATGTCCATGTCCAGGACCCCATCTGCCTCTTGTTCGTATTATCGCAAGTAATCCTGACTAATAATCCTACAAACTACAGCATTAATAATCCCATTTTACATATGAAGAACCGAGGCTCAGAAAGATTCCTAACATCACAGACTTTTTGAGTAGTGCTGCTAGCTTTTAATCCAGGCTTCTTAATTCTGTGAGCTCTGTATCATAAAATTCGCTGTGTCCTACAATTCTGTGTCCTAGGAAAGATCCTTAATCTCAAGGTCTCGCAGTGAATCAAAGAACAAAGATCAACACACACAAAACTCCTGGAGAACAACAGTAAGCAGTATTTAAAGTGAACCCCGTGTCAGAACTAGCGATTGGCCGAGAGCGGCGCGGGGCTGTGGCTCAGCAGGCCAGGCCCGGCCGGAGGCCTCGGGACTCTGTGGCGCTGCCTGAGCGTCGGCATGCTCCATGGGCAGCAACCAGGGCCACGATGACAGACTACAGCGAGGAGCAGTGAAACAAACTGGAGGCTCTGGAGTCCATCTATCCCGACTCCTTCACAGTATTATCAGAAAATCCACCCAGCTTCACCGTCACTGTGACATCGGAGGCTGCAGAAAATGATCAAACTGTCCAGACTACCCTCAAGTTTACATACAGTGAAAAATACCTAGATGAAGCTCCTCTTTATGAAATATTTTCCCAGGAAAACCTAGAAGATAATGATGTCATAGACATTTTAAAATTATTAGCTTTACAGGCTGAGGAAAATCTTGGTGTGCTCATGATCTTTACTCTAGGGACAGCAGTGCAAGAAAAATTAAATGAAACAGTAGATCAGATAAAAATGAGAAAAGAGGAAGAAAAGAAACTAAAAGAAAAAGAAGCAGAAGAAGCAGAGAAGCAATTATTCCACGGCACCCCGGTTACAATTGAGAATTTCTTATGTTGGAAAGCCAAGTTTGATGCAGAACTCTTGGAAATTAAAAAGAAACGGATAAAAGAAGAAGAGCAAGCAGGAAAAAATAAATTAAGTGGCAAATCATAATCTTGACACATCTGATATCCAGTTCTTGGAGGATGCTGGAAATAATGTGGAAGTAGAGGAGTCTTTGTTCCAGGAACTGGATGACTTGGAGCTGGAAGATGTTGAGGACGACCCAGACCACAGCCCTGCTGGCCCAGAGCGTGACTCAGAGGACTGAGGCACCATCTCCAGCGAGCCCCACAGCCACAGCATCTGTGGCTGTGCTGAGAGGCTTTTAATTTTCCTTTCTTTTTTTCTAAGAAAAAATAACTCTCAGGAGAATATTCTTCTGATAACTTTCACCACTGAACTTAATACTTCAAGATAAAATGTTCACTTCCTCTTATTGGTGAGCAGAAGTTTACATATTTAACATTATTTAATGCTGGAGGGAGATCCTACCTATAACACCAAGACCTGAAGGTGGGTGGCAGCCATGTGCATACGGGTATATGTATAAGAAACAGAAATAACTTGTGTTTTCTATCCTGGAGATGATAGTTACTTTTGGATTCCAAATGTTGTCTTTCATATAAAGTGTTAAAATACTGAGATAAATAAGAAATTAAACCTGGATTCCAGCCTTTTGACACAGTAAATTTAAGTTTTAACAGAATCAGAAGCCCAGATTATATACAGGAATAAAATGGATGTCATCACTAAAAAAAAAAAAAATTAAAAAAAATAAAGTGAACCCAGTGTCTGCACATTAGGAACCCTTTACTATGGGGGTGAAGGGAAGAGTTAAAGTGATTCACTCTGAAAACTGGAAGTGTTCACAGTGAGATGTGGTAGGTAGAATAACATCTCATAACTCACAAGGATATTTCCGTCTCATTCCTTGGAAACTGTGACTGTATCTACTCAGCAAGGGGAATCAACTGAATCTGTGGTGGGGAGATTATCCCGGATAATCTGTGGGGTGCCATATAATCAACTGGATGCTTGAATATGGGAGAGGGAGGCAGAAGAGTCACTGTCTGCTTTGACAGTGAACTCTGTCTCTCCAAATTCAAACACTGAAGCATACACCCCAGTGTGGTGGCACTGGGAGAAGTCACTGGGAGCCGTCAGGTTCAGATGAGGTCCCGAGGGTGGGACCTTCATGACGGGATGGGTTCCCTGCTGTGGACAGACCCCAGCGAGCCAGCTTCCTCTCTCTCTGCTATGCAAGGACACGGGAGGGAAGCAGCTGTCTGGGAGCCAGGAGAGCCTTCCTAGCCTCCAGACCTGTGAGAAAAGAACTTTCTGTCATCTGAGCCACGGATCTGTTATTCTGTCACAGCACCCTGAGCCGACTGTCACAGTGATAGAGTGTGAGAAAGACTCCCTGGCCACCTGCTGGCTCTGGAGATGGAAAGGGCCAACAGGCAAGGATGCAGGTGGCCCTGAAACTGGAAAAGTGAAGGAAATGGCTTCTCCCTGAGAGCTGGCAGGAAGGATCTCTGACAAGGCCTTGACTTCAGCCTGGTGAGACCCACAGCGCAATTCTCACCTGCAGAACTGAAAGATAAATTTGTGTCACTTGAAACCACCCGCTCCATGGTAACTCATTACAGAAGCAACAGGAAAGGAACCCAGGTGAGGGCCAAGGAAGGTCAGCCCTGTACCAAGTCTCAAGAAAGGAGGGAAAGGATAGGCAGGTCCCACCCAGGTGACTGGGGCAGGGGAGAGCTTTTGCAGCTGAGGGTGGGGCTACGCAAAGACACAGATGCCAGTCAGCTCGAGTTCACCAAGGAGGTGGCAGCCAGGCAGGAGCAAACACATGGGCCACAGCACGAGTCAGATGGGGTCAGCCTGTGACAACCTGGGGCAGTCCCAGTCTCAAGGAAAACAAGGACGAAGAGATCAGAAAAGGCAGGGGGCAGGATGAGGCATAAATGCTAAATTATTATCACTTTTCTTTCAATCCTACATGAAATGTTCTCCCTAAACAAATGTCACCCTAGAAGGTCAACGCTCTGAACACAACAGGGGCCCTCTGTGAAATGAGGGCCCTCGGAGCAGTTGCAATGCACCTAGCCAATTGTGGTAGCCAGCACCTTAATCCCTAATTGAATGTGCCTGACTTATTTCTGACAATTCAATCTGTCCTTAGACTCTCCTACTAAATATATTCAAAAGAATGTGCTACAAAAAGCAGTTCTAGAAAAAGAGTTTCCAAAATGCTGCAAATGATGTCAGCAACATCACAGGAAAAGTATAGTTTCCTCAGGTAACGTTTTGGAAGGAGACAACACTTGTATTAAAATAAAGATTGCAAAACCAGGAATCTGGCTTTTAAAAAAAAATCAGACTCATGGCCCTATAATAACTCAAAGTTGGCACACCATGATAGATGGATACAAGATGACCAAAATAGGAGAGCCCCCTCACCAAGGTCAGGTGGATGGCCAGCCTGCTGGACAGGTGGAACTTCAGAAAGGCCACTGGCTGGGTCCCTGAGAGCCTTGTTACTTTGTGCTCCCACTACTGAGTGGGGTCCATGTCCTGCTGACCTCACCACTACTAGGATGGACATTCCTTGTCCTCCTGCTCCAGTCCCCATGGCTACAGGAAGGCCCCACAGGGTGCAGAGGACATGGCAGGGATACCAGGGGCCACCCACAGGCACCCATGCTACTCCTGGCCCTGAGGAGGGTGCAATCCCACAAGCTTCCCTTTTCCTCTACAATCCACCAGTGTCCCAGGGCCACCATCTTGCTTCTCAGTGAATCTATAGTTACTTGATAACTTTTTTTTTCCTCCAGATTTGAAATCAGGATTTTATCATTTGCCCACCTGGATTGTTCCTATATCCACTGGCTTTCATGACCTATCTTATTATTATTTTTATTTTTAAACCTTTTTTTAATAGTACATGTTTGCAGTACACAATGATCATTTAAAAAATATCTATCATGCAGAGGATTTGTGTGTGGCAGACCTGCACAGCCTGTCATCTTTAAGCTGAAAGTTGCAGTGAGTTCTTCCTATGCAAATCTCTAAGTCTAGGACAAATATGGACTCATAAGTACTACACATACATTTACTCTGACTAGTTGGTAATGCTTGTATATTTATTCATTTTCTTCCCAAGCCAAGAACTGGAGGAGAGAGAAATGGAAAAGGAATTCTAGTATGATTCTTGGCACAGACCAAACCTGGGGCAGGAGTCTACTAGTGTCCTCAGCAGCCAGTCTAAGGTGGGTTCAAACAGAAAGGCAGGATGGAGGCCCATTCCAGGATGGAAACCCACTTCTGGAGTGAGACATCGCAGCTCGCCTCTGCTGTCCAGGTTTGTTAACTCACTAGTGGTGACCAGTGTTACGCATCAGAACTTTAAATGTGCCGTCCCAACACAGAAACCCCAGGGCAGGAACTGTACTCACCCAGCCCAGAGATGTTTATTGCTTTCACCGATTTCTTCATTTTGTAAAGAGCCATCCGGTCCACATCCAAAGCCTAAAATACAGAGAATATGCCAATTAAAACATGTTTGTGCGGCCCATCGCGACCAGCTGGCGCACGGTGAGGACCCTGGTGGCCTGGCGCCCCCACTCCGAGCACTGTAGCTACGTGGGTGCCTGCAGGCGCCCCCCCCCCGCCTCTGGCCTCCTGGCTGTGCTGCTACCTGGTTCCACACTCAGAGGCATAGGGGGTCATGAAGGCCATCGCCCTGAGCTCCACAAGATAGAGCAGAAGTGAGCAACAGAAAGAGGGCCTCTCTCAGGCTCCTCGATGAAAACTGAAGCCCACTGGAAAAGTGAAGAGAATCTCTGCAGTAAAAGCACACCAGACCACCGTACTTGGTAAATTAGAGGGATCACCACCTCCCATCAGAACCCGGACTATCTTCAGGGGAAAGGCAGCTGAAACCTGCAGTAGAACCTTGCAGAGTTCAACCCTGCAGGAGGACAGGGAGCTCAACTTGGGACTAGCAGCCAGAAATCTGTCTGAATCTCACAGGTCTGCTACTGGCTTGCTAAGATGCATTGACTTATATCTGCACACAGCTGCCCATGTTGTCTAGTGTGACAGCAGAGACACACCCTGAAGGAGACCCTTCATTTTTATTTTTTGTTATTTGCAAAAATTTTTTTCTCTAATTTTTTTTCTACTCTTATCAAATTTTTTTTCTCTTCTTTTTTTTTTTTCCCTTTCATTTCTCTCACTCGTTCTCTCGCTGTCCCACATTGTTCTTCATCTCCCTTTTTGTTCCTGTTCTGGACCTAATTTGGATTTCTTCTTTATTTTTCTTTTCTTCTCTTGATTATCATTTTAAAGGAAAGTAAATATAGTATCTAGCCTCCCTATTGCTATTAGGTTGTTCCATTCACATCTTTGTTCTTTAATTCTGTCTTTTCCTCTTGTCTTCAACAGTTTCTTAGACTTTGCATGATCTTCCTATGTCTTCTGGCCTTACTGCTAACCTTTCCCTATCCTTCTACCTATCTATCCCTCCCTACCCAACTCCTTCTAACTCCCCATCCTGTAAAGTTGCTATATTGAAGAGTTTATTCATGTAAATGTATGTTGGGCTGGTCCTCGATTTTGATATAATTCACACAGTTAAAGGTGATACATTAATAACTACCACAAATTGTCTTTTCCTTTTTTTTTTTGGTACCAGGGATCGAACTTGGGTCCTTGCACTTGTGCAGCAGGCAGTGAAACCACTGAGCTAAATCCCCGGCCCAAATTGTCATTTTCTAAGCTGTGCTTGATGCTATGGTGTTGCTGATTGCTATTATTTGGGCTAAGCCTCAGAGTCATTAGAGACTCAAAACCTAAAGACCAGCTGTATCTGGAAGACACCTCTGAAAAGCAATCATTCCACAAGGGTTCTAAACATAAGCAACAAAGATACTTACAATATGCAATTTCGCAGTATCAACCCAGGAATTAAACCAAGGACAGTACCAAAAAGAAAAATGAGAAGACATTTAAGCAAGGCACGAAATCAGACTTCCACCCTACCAAAGGCAAATTTTGGGGGAAACGAGGTGGGAAAATATGATAATCAACCACCTGGACACCCTGAACTGATGGCACAGGAAGTAACAAAACAAATGAATGAGGCTCTAGAAAAATTCAAAACAGAAATAATTTCCCAGATAACTACAGAGATGGTGAGCAGAGTGAAACATATTGATTAGAGGCTCTAGAACAGAAACAGATA